ATCAGAGATTTCCCTGAGGACCTTTACTTCTTATTTTTTTGCAAACCAGGATATGTTGCCTTTGCTTCCAGGTGCTTTCAACCTATGGAACTCAGGAATATATTTATACATCAGATTTACCTATATGAAAGAATTCCAGATTTTTTATTTTAATAAATTTTTTTATTCCTCTCTACCCAGCCTTCCCTCTTCCCTCCTCCCTGGCCTGGGCTGAGGATATATAGTCAGATACTGTGTTGATAAGTTCCTTTTTGTCTCCCTTCATTACAGTTATATTACTTATTTGAAATATAGTGGGATTCATTTATTTTACTTTGTTTACAATTTTTGTTATTGCTATTTAGTAACCCTCTTTTCAGTACAAGAAATTAATAACTTAAATGTAACTTTTAAAAGATGTATTTTTACAATGGACCTATGTCTGTCATAAAGGTATTACATATAATAGTAGTTTTGCCAGCTTTTGTTTCAAGAGTGTTCCTAGTTGCTCCATGAAGCATTTTTATGATGGTAACTTTATAATTCTTGTCAGATAATTCCAACATCTAAGTAATCTTTAGTGTTGGCATCTGTTGATTGTCTTTATTCATTTAAGTTGTGATTTTCCTGCTTCTTACTATGACAAATGTTTCTGTTTTATCCTGGACACTTTGAGTATAATGTTATGAGATTCTAGAACCTATTTAAATATTCTGTTATATCAGTTAGTCACCCTGTTTTTAGTTAGCACGCAGATCCTGGCCTACTTTTGTGGGCTGTGGTTCTAATGACAATTTAATTTCCAGAGCTCATGTAGTGTTATTCTGGTCTATATCCTGTCATTGCTACCTGGAGGCCACTCTGAAACCTGATATTCCATACTGTAGTTCAGTTCTCAGACCTTTTGCCATATTCTGGACTTTTAGTCAGGGGTGTGTCCAGGACTTCCTGTGCAGGTTTAAAGAATGCTTTTCTCCAGGTTTTTCTTGGGGCTTTTCCCACCCTTGTGCCTGTTGGTGGTTCTGGGTTGCATGCTTCACCAAAGAATAGTCTCAGATATATAGAAGATAAAAGAAAAATCGGAGACCCCATAGTGGTGTTGTTCCTCAAATTATTAGATCCTTAGTTCATTTTCCTCCTTCCACTTTTCAGAGTTCTCTTATTGTGTTATATTTAGGATGTTTGGTTATACTTAATGGGGGAGAATATGAGAAATGAGAAGGCAGTGAGACTAGTTTAAATCCAGAAGTTCTTGTTTATATATTTTAAATTTCTGTTTTAGGTGCAAACACATTGGAGATTATGTCTGGTTAATTGACCCTCTTCCTATAATTTCCCTCTTTATTCCTGTTAACATTCATTTTTCTGAAGTCTCTTGTGCTTCATGTTAATCTAGCTATTTCAAGTTTTTTTAAATCTGTATTTATATGATATATCTCTTTCCATACTTTATTTTGACTTATCGATGCCTTTTATTTAAAACTAGAGGCCAGGTGCACAAAAATTCATGTACTTGGCGGGGGTGGGGGTGGGGGGAGGTCCCTCAGCCCAGCCTGCACCCTCTTGAAGTCCGGGAGCCCTTGGGGGATGTCCAACTGACAGCTTAGGCCTGCTCCCCATAAGCCACAGTCTGGCCTCCCTCTGTAGGAGGCGACCGGCAGACCAATCGGGAGACAGTGCCAACCGGCGAGTGGCTGGCCCCGCCGCCCCGATTGCCCCTCTGCCACTGCTGGTCGCTGCTGCCCCCTGATCACTGTCCCCTCCCTCTGCCTGCTGCCATCTACCTTGGCTGGCCTACCACCGCCCACTCACTGGCCCCGCCCCCTGCTGACCGGTCATTCCGCTGTTTGGTCATTTTGCATATTAGGCTTTTATTATATAGGATGGGTTCTCTGTTGAAAGCATATAGTGTGGCCTTTCTTTTTTATCTAATCTTCATTCTCTGTCTCTTATTGGTGCTTTTAGGACATTTACATTTAATGTAATTATGATACAGTTGGTTTTAACCTTATCATATTGCCAATTATTTTGCTTGTTTTATATACTTTTTGTTTCTTTTACCCTTTTTTGCTGTCTTTTGGATTGAGTATTTTTATTACATCTTATTTTTACTATTGGCTTATTGTTATTATTTTGTTGTTGTTAATGCTCACCTAAGGATATTTTTTTCATAGATATTTAGAGAGAATGAAAAGGAAGGAGGGGGAAAGATAGAGGGAGGGGAGTAGGGAGAGACCTAATTAACATTGATTATATGTGTTTATTTTAACAGCTGCTGAAATAGTTCAAGAACTTGAAAATATGGAGAAGACTAGGATGCGTCTTGAAGCTAGTAAACTCAGTGAAAGAGTATGTTATGGTCTATTTCAGTATCTGGGTAGAAATAAAGGAAAGTTGAATACTCTACTAAAATTAAAGCAAGCCAGAATGTACTAGAACACATTTTTACTTAATATAATATGATTTACCTGCAGCTCATTTTTTAGCACAAAATTCTGTCATAATTGGCAGTCTTCTAGTACAAAATGCAATCTAGAGTTTATTAATGGTTAATAGTCTTTAGAAAAAGCATATGCCTACATATCAGCCCTTTCTCTGCTCGTTGTATTTGATAAACTATTTAACCTCTGCTTCCCTTACCATCTTCATCTGTAAAATTTCGGGATTGAACTCTATGATCTCTAAGATCCCCTTTTAGCTCTGGCATTCTGCAATTCCATGATTGTCCTGGTTGAGAAATTAAGTAATTATAGGAGTTTATAGACTATCTATTGAGCTTATTGAGGTAACCAAAAACCTAAAATGTTTCACTATTTCCTTCCTCTAGCATCATGGCCCAAAACTTGAGGAAAGGATGTCAAAGAAGAAAATAGTCATGTGTCCTAGACACTGTAGGCAGTGTTTTGGGCTCTTCCAAGTAGACTTTTTTCCCTAGACCATTGATAATGTGTTTGTAGGGGGGAGTGAGCTTATAATCAGTAGTAGGAAACAATGAGATTTGCATTAACTTTATTACTACCTGTGTGCTAACTGTAAGATGGAGACGGTAGTGAGTCATGTAAGTACACTTGATTTTTTAAGTCTCAGATATGAAAAAGCGGAACTATAAATGTAACATTTCTTGTATTTTCCCTATATATTACATTTCTTATAGATTTGGTGAAGTTAGGCTGGAAAAGATAGAAGGCAGACAAGAAAATCTGCCTTATTAATGATCTGCTAAATGTCTCCAGTCTTGTAGTTTAAAGTGTTTTGTAGTTTGTTGTATTAATGAATGTGAAAAAGTTAACTATTTAAAATAGGAAAGTTAATTGATTGTTGTATTAATACTTTATGTATTCTAATGGCATTCATGTTGCATTTTCTACTGATGAGAAATAAGTAATGAGTAAAATATATATTAAGTATGATATTCAAGGGAAATACACAGGAGTTACTTTTCCTAGGTCTATTTGAAGCAAAGATGAGCAAATATTTTACTCTATTTAAACATCCACATTTGAGATTTTAAAGCTTATAGTACTGATTTCTATTTTTGTCATTTAATGAATTTTTAATTAAGATTTTTTTTATTATTTTAGATAATGGTTTTTACGAAGGACCAAACAGAAAAGGAAATAGATGAAATCCACAGTAAATACCGTAAGTTGTATGTTTTCTTTATTTGCAAAGAATTTGGGTTGCAGTTTTTTATCTTAAAGTTTTAAAATAAATTTTTTACATTAATGTTTGGTATACACTTATCTTGTTAATGTTACTTAAGAGACTGAATTTAGTTGTGCTTATTCAGACAGGGACCTTTTTTATAAGTCAGTGCGCCTGCTTTTTGATTTGTGACTAGCATTCTACTTTGAGCTTATCACTAAGCACTTTGCAAATATTAATTAGTTGCTCTCAAAGCATCTTTGTGAGAAGAAAATGGGATTAAAATGGAAGCATTTCTGACTTTCCTGTCCTCAAGCCACTCAATGACAATACTGTAAAGAATTTCAGCACTAATAGCTTGCACATTTGTGCCAAAAAGAGTTTTCATTTTATTAGGTATTAACTTCCTAACTTTATCACTTCCTTTTTCTTAAATGGCCTTTGTATATGTCTTTCCTAGGGCTAGCTCATTACTGTTTTGTCAGTTAGGTATCCTTTGTTTAATTGGTTTGTTTTTAGTTTAAATTTAAATTTAAGTGCTTGGCAAACAGTAGATAGTTAATAAATATTTGTTGAGTGAGTATACCACACATACAATGTTTTGGTTGTGCTAAGAGAATTTTGTCTTCTTTTTTCAGTTCTTTAGTTTTGAAGGGGCAGATTCAGCAGTGGTCTATTTGGGGAGGGAGGATGCAGAAGTACACAGGCACTAGATGTAGATGCGATGGCTTGTGCTGAACAACAAAAGTCATGTCTCTGTTGCTAGAAAGATAAGTATGGTGTGATTTTTTTTTTTAAACCAACTTTTGGGAAGCCAAAGTGATTTTTCTTGAGACAGGAGGTAGACAACCAAATGATCACTGATTTGGCAAAATTAAGGCCTGTAACGATAAGGAAAACAGAAAATTTGCATGAAAAAAAGTAATTTAAATCACTAAAAGAATGGTATCTAACAAATATGCCTCACTAGGAAAGAAGTGGATTAGATGCAGGCAAGACAATATACAAATATCTATTGCCACTATTAAATATCTAAAAAAAGCTTTACTTTACTAAATAGGTCATGTTAAACTAATTGGTTTAGCCCTAAAATACCTCAGTATATACTTAAAAAAACACACCAACCCCCCCCCCCCCCCCCCCCCCCCACAAAACTTTCAGGCTCTTCTAAAGCTTAAGTTCTTACTGTGTAGTCATACATTTTGATTTAGTGTTGGGCTCTAAATATACTATTGATTTCTTTTAAACATTTTAATTAATGTTTTACATGCATGTCGTGTTTTTTAAAAAAATTTGATTTTAAAGAAGGAGGAAGGGAGAGGGAGAAAGAAGAGAGAGAGGAGAGAGAGAGGCAAGAAGGGAGAGGGAGAGAGAGGAGAGAGAGGAGAGAGAAGGGAGAGGTGGAGGGAGCATCCTAGGAGTCTGCAGAAGGTTCACCTTGTGTATTCGTTCAGCATACAAAGTATACTTTTCTGACTGTTACTGAAGAAGGACCTGGACCCGGTGGGTCTGCCCTGGCATGGTCTGGAAATAGGATTCTTCTGAGGTGTTTCAGGAAAAGAATTTTAGGACAGGCACATAGGAGGAATTTAAGTGGCAAGATTTATTAGAGTGAGCGAGGTCGTACATCCTTGGAGAGGCAGAGAGCTGGTTGGCTATAGTAGTGGCCTTGTGGACAGAAGCAAAAGGAGAGTCCTCTGCCACTGCTTGCTGCTCCCCTGGTGGCAAGTCTGGTGGGGATCCTTAGAGTTTAGGAGGAAAGAAGGCAGAAAGTACATGCCTGAAAGAAGGGCATGGGCATGCTCCAAGGAGGGCACTGGGTTTTTGTCTAGCTTCTATATATTTCCTTGAGTTCAGAAAAGAGCAGGCTTTCTTTTTAACTATTCAGTCTTCAGTCTCTCTCCTGACTTTTTCCCAGGCAGTGCCAATGCCCTCCCCCATCCAATCTCATTCCGGATCTTCTGGGATTTTGTGGCCTTATCCTATTAGATCTTTTCCCCAGACTTCCTCAGGCTAGTCCCCTTCCCCTTTATGGTTGCCATTTTGGCTTCTAATGCTCATGCACTCAGTGAAAGGACTCCCCTGATCCCCTTCTTTTTCCCTCCCTGCTCAATCAAGTGAAATGGTGCAGGTTGCTCCTGGGGTGACTGAAACTGTCCTTTTCTAGTTAATCCGGGTTAATCAGATGTCTGGTTCCGTTTGCGCCCTTCCTTTTTGTTAATGTCTAGCAAACTGCCGACTATAACGTGACCACAATAGAATTACATTGGAAATCAGTAACAAAGCCTTCTGGAAAATTGCCAAATATTTGGAAACTAAGCAACACACTTCCAAATAACTTATGGATCAAAGGAAAATTAAAACCAAGAAATTTCAAAATTATTTATTAACTCATTTAAAAATAACAAATCCATTACATATTAACATAATCTGATAGAAAATAATGTTCCCAAAATAAAACAAAAAAATCAAAATGGAATTTTCTACTATCCCAGATAGCATAACAGAGACTGTATTTACTTTCCTTCATTAATAAACTAGAAAACCTGATTAAATGTATGAAGCAATGTTTTTTTTTGATAGATACTGGGGAAAAGTAGTACAGGATTGTGATTCCTGAAGGAAGGAAAACAAAGTGGTGAGCTCTCCAGTTCCAGAGCTTACTGCCTAGAGGCAGTTTTCAGGCATTGGGTAGGAGAACCCCAAAATAATCTAGTGGGTCACTAAGTAGGTAAACCAGAAATGAAAGTTGTGGGAGGCCAAGGTGCTAGAATTTGTGGGACATCTTACCAGAGAGGAGAGAACCTCAGAGAGACGAGAGCTCTATATGATGCATAGAAGATCCTGTTAAGCTTTTGGCTGCCTAGCAATTTGCACATGAATGAGAGGAAAGTGCCTGAGACTAGGGAAAGGGTACTTGAAAGGATCAGCTCCAGAACAATTTCTGGAGCTCACATAGGGCCTGAAACAATTTGAATCCATCACAAGCCCTAGTACAAAAAACCCCCCCAAAAACCTCAAAATATATGGGGACCTCAGACAGAATCCTCAGAAAGTTTTTATTACTTTAGTAGCTGGGCTAATCTAATCTACCTTAGGGCCAGATAATAAATATTTTAGGCTTTGCAGGCTATATATGGTTTTTGTCAAATGTTCTATTTGTTAACACATCTTTATAAAAATGTAAAAAGCATTCTTAGCTAGAGAGCCATACAAAAATATGCCATAGGTTGGATTTGGCCTCTGGGCTGTTATTCGTTGACTTCTTTACACAAAGGTTGTACTAATTTTCTCTAATGAAAAGATTTTTTTAAAAATAGAATTTACGTTTTAGAGTAAAATGTAATATTGAGGGGAAAATGCAACGAGTTCCTATATCTCCCTGATTTACAGATGCACCATCTCTCCTGCCATCAACATCTCTCACCAGAGTGGTATACTGACATGTCATTATCACAAAGTGCATAGTTTACATTAGGGTTCACTCTTGGTGGTATATATTGTATGGGTTTTAACAAATATATAATGACATATATCTACCAGTATCTTATACAGAATACTCACTGTGCTTTATTTATTGATCCCTCCTTTCTTCCTAGTCCCTGACAACCACTTATCTTTTCACTGTCTTTATAGTTTTTTCCAGAATGTCATGTAATTGGAATTATACAGTATACTAGAGTCTCGGTGCACGAAATTCGTGCACGGGGAGGGGGGAGTCACACCTTAGCCCGGCCTGCAACGACGCCTGCGTCCCTCGCCCCAACCTCTGGCCTGAGGCCCCTCCCTTCCCTCCGCGTGGCCGGGGCGCGGACGCTGGGCTCGTGTTGCCAGGGTGACACCGCCAGCGACCTGCCCTGGCCACTATGGGCGCTGCCATCTTTGTCATGGAGTGATGGTTAATTTACATATTACTCTTTTATTAGATAGGATGGTGGCCTTTTCAGGTTGTCTTCTTTCTCAGTAATGTGCATTTCAGGTTCCTCTGTGTCTTTTCCTGACTTGATAGCTCATTTCTTTTTAGCCTTGAACAATATTTCATTTTCTGGATGTACTATAGTTTATTTATTATTTATCAATTTACCTAATACTATAGTTTATCAACTTCCCTACTGCTTCTTTTGGCAATTATTTAAAAAGTTCCTTTACGTTCTTGTGCAGCTTTTTGTGTCAACATAAGTTTCAACATATTTGGATAAATACTAACGCATGTGAGTGCTAGATCATAAGGTATCTTTAGTTTTGTAAGAAATTATCTTTTTAAATCTCTACCATTTTGCATTCCCATCAGCAAAGAATAAGAGTTACTGTTGCTTCTTATCCTCACCTGCATATGTGTTGTTAGTTATTTGGATTTTTGCCATTCTAATAGTTGTTGTGTGTTTTTTTTTTAATGTACAATTATCTAATGACATATAATGTTAAGCATTTTTTCATATGGTTATTTGCCATCTGTATATCTTTTTCCAGGAAGTGTGTGTTCAGATCTTCGGCCCATTTTTTTAATTGGGTCATTCATTTTCTTCTTGACTTTTGGAAGTTCTTTGTATATTTTGGATAACAGTCCTTTATCAGATATGACTTTTGCAAATATTTTCTCCTGGTCTGTGGGTTGTCTTCTCATTATCTTCATAATCTGCCCTATTAAAAATTGAAAGCAAGCCTTGGAATGATTCAGTTGATTCTAAGTAGCTTGATATTCTTCAGAACAAAATATAATACAGTTTAAGGATAGAACAAAATCTAGCAACCAAGAGAATAAAATTAATAGTATTTAGTATCCTTTGAAATTACCAGGAATTCAAAGAAGCAGAAAAATAAGATTCATAGAAAGGAGAAATTTTAATTAATAGAACCAAACCCAGGAATGACAGATGATGAGACTAGTAGACAGAAAGGTTAAAACAGCATGTATAAATATGTTCCATATATCAAGAAGGAAGAATTAAGTAGGGTCCTGCTGAGGTGAGAAACGGATGATATAAAAAAAACTTAAA